ACACCGGGGGCTTCTTCGGCTCCTCTCATCCTTGGACTCCGGAGTGGTTCTCCGGCGTTCTCATAGTCACCGTCGTAGGGCATCTCGGCGTCGCCTTGGGAGGCCTGAGGATCACCCGGAAGGTGAACGGGATCGTCACCCAGAGGAACGCCAGGGTCTCCAGGTAGAAGAGGTGGATTTCCGCCAACATCACGGTCGTCCCCAACGTAGATCTCGTCCTCGGCGAAGTCGCGGTCCAAGAGTCTCTCCAAATCTTCTCGTGTAGTACGCAGGGTGAAAGCACTGCCCACTTCCTCTCCTGTAGCCATCCGCAAATGTTCTCGGGCAACGAGGTGGCATCTCCCGGCAAAGGAGGTCCAGTAGTTTGGACCTTCCGATCCTATGACGGTAGCCGGGCCGATCCATCTCCAGTCTTTGCAGTTCTTCGGCTTCCGGTAGAAGTAGACAACGTCACCGATCTGGACCTCGGGCCCTGCCACGCGGGAGCGCTGCAGGAGAGCTCTCCTCAACTTCGCGTCGTTCTGGTTCTTGAAGTAGGCCTCCTTCGCACCCAGCCTGATAGCCATTTCCCGACTTCTCCGACGGTCGTAGGTGAGGATGTGGTCGATCTGTTCGCCGTGTGGAGTTTCGAGGAGGTCCTCGGGGAGAGTGGGGTCACGACCCCACACGGCCTGGGCCGCACTGAAGCCAGACTGCTTCTTCAACGTGTTCACAGCCGAGTTGATGGCGGTGACGGTGATCTGGAGTTCTCCGTGGCCAACGGACTGCTGGTCGACGAGCTTCTTCCAAATCTCCTTCCAGGTTTGGATGGCTCTCTCCACACTCCCTTGTTGGAAGTGAGCTTGGCCTGCAGAAGGCCTGAGCTTCGTCCCATGCCACTCCGAAAAACGCCCGAGACCAGCCTGCAAGCCACTCTCCAAGTCCAGAGCGATCGTTCCCGGTGCTCCAAAGGTGTTGGACCAGATCCTGCAGAAGTCTGCCTCCATGGTCTGGGTGGAGTGACCTGACAAAGAGCCTGCCAAAGAAAACCCAGTGCCGAAGTCAGTGATCATCATGAACTCGTGTCTCCTCCGGTTGGAGTCGTAGGCAGAAAAGGCATCGACCGCGACGATCTGGTTGAAGTCGAGTATAGTCGGAAGGGAGGCCGGTCGAGCTGAGCCGGCTCTCTTGTTTCTTTCACACACTTGGCATCGTAGACGCTTGACAGCTTCCACCACCTCACTTCCTGCCCCGGCAATTCGTAGATGGCGGGCCAGGTCCTCATTCAAAGGGTGGCCGAGGTTCTGGTGCAGCCGTTTTAAAGAAGATTGGACCTCCTTCTTGATCCGGCTTCCAGCGCTGAACGAAATGGCTTTTGCACCCTCAAGCTCAGGAGAGAGCACAGAGTCGGGAGCCCGTCCGGTCTTCCGATCCACAACGTAGGCTTCTTCACCTCCGTCGGCTCCTTCGTCTCGTAGTAGATATCGTTGGAAAGTCTCAACGGGGATCTCGTTGTCGCCATCCTCCCCGAAGGTCTCGGTAGGGTTGAGATGAAGAACCCGGGAGCCATTGGAACGGTGGGTCCATTTGTAGTCGTAGAAGTCGGCGAGGGCCAGGAGTTCCTCGGAAGACCAGCTTGAATCTTCCGGCTTCCCTTCAAGGACAACTGTCCTCCCGGCCGCGAGTTGTCGTTGGGCAACAGCAAGCAGTCTCTCAAGTTGGTCTCCAAGAGACGAGAGATGTACCCAGAGCCTCCGTGGTCGTAGTTCATCAAGTATCGCTGTTGTGGTGCTGAGGTTGTGGTCGGCCCGGAAGTGCTCCTCATAGAGCGGTTCAGTAGTAACATATCCATGCTCCGTGGCCTCAAAGGTCTTGTAGTCGCCACCGATCTCGAGAAGCGTCACTGCATCGGGTCCTCGCGACTCGGGGAACGCAGGGAGGACGCAGGTAGATGCCGCAATGCTGCACCACACCGTAAGTGCGATGATCCGCCTGGCGTTCTGCCACAAAGCCTTCCTCGTACTCTTGATGGGCCGGGAGGTCCGTGCGTACTCCTCATTCTCCTTGACAGCCGTAGGCGGAAGCTTCCGGAGGGGAAAACGGACTTCACGGAGTCCATCGCGTAGTCGTGCTCCGGCAGAAGGGAAACCTCTCGTAGTGAAACACGAAATCACCCATCGCTCTCCAGTCCAGGGTTCTGTGGCGTGTCTCCTCCGCGGGTCCAGTAAGTAGGGAGCACTCTTTGTGGAGGCCAGGTATCCTGGTAGAGGATTGCCGTCTCGGTCGGGTCGCCACTCGACAGGTAAATGAAGGGGGTCGTCATCACGATCTCGTTCGACCCATACACAACCACCAGCGAAGTCACCGAGGGAGACCGTGAGCACCGGGGTCTCTGCGAGATTGTGAGAATCTCGATGTATACAAGTGGCGACGTCTTTATGGATGATGAAGGAGGACCAACCGATGTCTTTCACAGGACTCGCCCTCTTCATCACCTCATTGACATAGGAGACGAACTTCGGATAGAGGGCAGTCCCTCTCGAGGTTCCATGGAGTCCTCCGTGAGTCCACATTCCGCCAAGGAAACTCTGCGTTTTGTCGCCGGGGTTGCCGTTGATGCACCTGTGCCTAGAAGTCGGCTTCATAGGTAACTGGGGAAGTAGTAGAGCAAGTTCATCAAGAGAGAAACGCTTTTCTTTAAGTAGCCGTTGTGCAGCTTCTTCTAGACTGGCGCCACTTGCGTCGAGAGGCCCAGTGGAAGGAGTACCCTCGTCGATCATATAGATCTCCTCGACAACTTCGCCAAAGGGCTTCAAAGGTGACCCCGACGGTTGAGACTCACAAGACAGATCGCCAGGAAGTCCGCCAGGATTGCAACGGGTTCCACTGGTGTTCTGGTCACCAGGAACTGGATCACCTGGTACAGGTAGTGCCGAAGACAAGGGATCACCAGGAAGTCCGCCAGGATTGCAATGGGTTCCGCTGGTGTTCTGGTAACCAGGACCCGAAGCGCGAGGAAAGGATTCAGGATGATCTCGTGGTTGAAGAGGTTCAGGTAGTACAGAAGGTCTTCCGACAGGATCTCCTTCATTTTGACGCAGATCATCTAGAAGAGTTCTCGCACAGGGACCGTCGGCATCAGACAAACGAGCGGCACCTTGACAAAGCAGATGAGGTGCTCGAACTTCAGAAAATGAATTAAGTCTGCATTGGTCTCCGGGAGACCCGCCAAAATGGCCTTTGCGCCGAGCTCCGTCGGCATCAAAACTGTTGGTTGGCTCCGTGGGCTGGTTCCTCCCAGCTTCATAGAAAAGGCCAGTGTCGGAGATGGTAGCATCGAAGGAGCCAGGAAGATCATCTCGTGGTGCTCCGACAAAGGCCGATTGAGGTTTGTCATCTACGGGGCCTCTCCCGAGGGGGCCATTCCGTGCCGGTCGCGCAACACCGCCAGCCGCGCCTGGAGGTACTGAATCTCGTCCATGACCTGGGGGTCGATCTCCTGGTCCATGTGGCTTCCAAGAGACGATGGCGGGGCCTGGCGCCGCTGCGCCTGGATGCGCTGCTCGATCACTTCGTTCTCCGTCCGGGTCGGTCTGGCCTTGGGTCTCGTGGACGTCCGGGTAGTAGCCGTGCTCCTCGTCGGGACCACATCCCATGAGCTGCCGCCGAAGGACTCCGGGTTGTAGGGGATCCTCGCCGAGTGTTCCGAGTCCACATAAGGGGGAGGAACCGAGCTGCTCGCATAGCCGTCCGTGACCTCCAGAGCTCGGCTCGCCCATGCCGCGAACATCTTCAAGTCCTCCTGGGCCCCGTCGTTCTCGGACACCTCCTGAACAGCCCAGCGCCGGTACGAGATCGGGGTCTCCTGGTACATCCGCCCCTTGAACCTCCCGAAGGCGAGCACCGTCTGGGGTCCTCGTCCTCCTTGGTCTCGTAGCATTCGCATCAACATCCCTTTGTTGGCCTTCTCCGGAATCGCTATCCCCGAGGCCTCGAGCGCATTCTCGAGGTCCTTGATCGTCATCTTGGTCAGCGGCACCGTCTCTCCAGTCACGACCTCCGTCGCGGGGGCGCCGCGCTTCATGTCCTCCTGGATGATCGAACGGATCTCCGGTACCGTCCACTTCTCGTGGATGGTGAGTCCTCTCGCCTCGGCTTCCATCAGTAGCTCGTCCCGACGGAGATCCCATAGCCCCTTCTGCTTGGTCACCGCAGGCGCCGTCAGAAGCGAGGACCGTGAGGCCATCAGGGGGCGAGCAAGAAGAACAGGAGGGCTTGAAGGCTCTACCAAAAGAAGTTCTTCCGACCCACAACATCGGGAATGAAGATTTGCTTCCAAGGCTCTGCCACTGATCGTGCACTTCAGGAAACTCTCGCTGTGTTTTGCAAGCAAAACCCTGTGTTGACCGAAGGGACCCGAGGACATTGAGAAGAGCAGACTTCTGTTCAACATTCGACGTCGACCATCCACTGGGATCAAAGAACGACCTCCTAGGGACAACATGTATCCGATGAAGCTGAAACTCGTCCTCAATCCAAAAGTCGTTTGAAATCGCACTTCTCTCCCACCACGCCATAAAGCTTGAGGGGTTCACTTTATCAGATGTGAGGAGGTTGTAGGCTTCAATGCTGATCTTCTTCGGGTAGAACACCTTGGGGCCTGGTACAGCTTCTGGGCCTCTGGAGTCCTCGAAAGAAAGGCCTGGGAGAAGCGGGGGTGGACCAACGTGACAGACATCACCCTCACACTCTCCAACATGAACCCCGGCACTAACCATGTAAGCCGTGTATTGCTGCATCTTCGGAACAATCAACAGCTCGCGCTCCTTCCAGTCGCAACTCTTGATGGTTGCGGCAGAGACACAAAAAGGGCGCACAGGTAGCGCCGGGTGGCCAGTCTCCGTCGAGAGAAGCTTCAAGTCCCGCACATTCAGCCTTTTGAAGCACGCGGAGTTCTCCTCCACGTCCATGACCATACCCATCTGGGCCAGGGCCGGGCGTGAGACCAGAAGTGGAAGGTCTCCGTTCACAACAGCGACACGAAGGAGGATGATACTCTCACCAACCGTAAAGCTGACAACGACGGCGTAGGTGGAGTCGAAAATGCGCGAGGCGCCGAACTTATAGGAGTCCTTGCAGTCCACCACCTGCGGGAGGTACCCAACTCTCTTTGCCTCGGCCATATACTTTTCCACCCACGGAATGCCCGCAACAGAACGGCTGCAGGCAGTGTCGGTGATCGCCGTCAGATTCGAGGTGGGGACCTTCTCATCGAGGTCCCAAGTCACGTACACGAGCTGGCACGGGTAGTTGCTCTTCACCTTGGGATCATCGTCCTTCCTCGTAGCCGCCGCAGTAGGTCCGGTAGGGCGTGAGGAGCCGCCAGGATTCGCACCAGCATTGCCGGAACCGCCCCCAGGTTGGTTCAGAGGGCATTCCGGGTCCAAGTGCCAATGCCCCTTTCTGCGGCACCCGGCGCAGAAGCTTTTCGCCTTTGCCTGTTTCAGGCGGTCTGCCGCCAGCTGCTTCATTCCTTCCGGGTCGCTTCCTCTCAACTTCGAGATCTCCTTGTACCTCTGCTTGGCGGACTCGTGTGCCATGTACGAGGTGTAGAGCTCCTCCGCGACATGTTCTGGGACACCCTCCGATTGAGCGTCCTGGTAGCCGTCGCCGTAGTCGTCGATGTCGTCGAAGCCATCCTCGGCGAGGTTGGCCTGTTGGGGCTTGCGGCCCCACCACTTCAAACCTCGGTCCGGTCTTTGAGGCTGGGCTCCCTTGGCTTCCCAGGGCTTACGGAGATTGCGGTCCTGGACGATGGCCGCCTGCTGAAGCCTTTTCAGGTTGTACTCGTTCTGGACGGAGGCCAGGAGATTTAACTCTTGACTTTCGTCAAGAGTCATCCGGTCGACGAACACCCAGGCACTGGCAATGTCGGGGAGATGGCATCCGCATTCTTGAAGCCTCGCCAAGGCTCTGTCGAAGTCACTCATGTAATCGCGGATGCTCTGTCCTTGCTGGCGACGGAGTCGCCTGAAGAAGTCACCGAGGGAGCGGCCGACCTGGGTGACTTGTACATCTAAGTACCTGTCAGTCACCCAACCAAGGAAGTACTCCATGCCGTCGTCACCGGCGAGCTTGTCGACGTCCAAGCGCTCCGCGTCGATCCAGGCCTTGCCGCTCAGGTGCTGGTACAAAGTGAGGGCTTGGCGGGACGGCTCAATACGAGTCATCCGCCTCCAGGCGGCGATTTGCCGCATGTAAGACCGAGCACTGGCTCCGATGTCTTCGGAGCCGCTTTCCACAGCCCCAGAGAAACTGGGGACGACCATCTTCTCGGAAGGGCCACGGGGAACTTCTGAAGTCCTTGGAGGGCCGGTCAGATCGTGTCCGAGCTTCTGAGGCTGCCATCCACCGGGCATAGCATTGCCTCCGCGAGATCTCCATGCCTCACGAGCAGACTCTTGAGGATCTGGGTCCCAAGAAGGCGGTCCTTGGGCCGAGACAGACCCCGTAGACGTAGAACCCCAAGTGCCGCCGTAGCTGTTGCGGCGGTCCTGCCATCCTTGCGCACCTTGGTGCCAGTGGTGGTCTTCCCAAGACTTCCACTGGTCCCGCTCTTCCCATCCGGAGTGTCCCCGCCAGGAATCCTGACCTCCACTCCAGGCTGCCGAGGCCCACGGGTCGTGGGGCTCTTCAGGTTCATCGTTCGAAGCGCCGTCAGCGTGAACATCACGTGCATGAGCGCCCCCTCCTACTCCATCACGATCGGCAGACACGCCATCACTATGTTGTTGCGCAGAATCATCACCAGTATCACGACAAAACTCATCAACCGAAGGACCGACAGGCCACGACATAGCGGAGTACAACTACACTACTGGAGCATAAGGCTCCGCTACCAATCTAAAACGAAGAAGGCAGGGTCTCCCGCCTCGGCAAAGTCGGCACCTTTTGCCGCACTTGATCCACTCGTGCGCCTGCCGGTCGCTCGTCTGTGCTTGCTTCAAAGAGAAGGGCCCTTCGCATCAGAAAACAGCTTCACAGATTTACATTTAGGGCCCTAGGGTTTAGGGTTTAAGGCCCTAGGGTTGAGGGTTTGGGGCCTTGGGTTTGGGGTTTCGGGGCCGAGGGTTTCGGGTCTGGGTGTTCGGGTTTGGGGTAAACCGAAGTAAAAGGCCAAAAGGGTGTCCCAATGGCTTTCGGCCATGGGTTGCGGCCATGGGTTTCGGGCATGGCTTTCGGGCATGGCTTTCGGCCATAGCTTTCGGCCATGGCTGGTTTAAGGCCCTAGGGTTGAGGGTTTGGGGCCTTGGGTTTAGGGTCGAGGGTTTAAGGTTAGGGTGCTAGGGTTGAAGGTTTCCTGCCCCTGCCCCCGCCCCCCTTCTCCTCAAGTGGAATCCTCGGCCCCCCACACCCCCGCCCCCCTGCCCCCCCCCCGCCCCCACCCGCACCCCCCCGCCCGCCCCCACCGCGGTGTGCACCCATCCCGCCCAGCTCTTCGCCTCAAGTAGAATGCCGCCCCCCCTCCCCCCCTCCGGCCCTCGCCGCCCCCGCCCCCAAACCCGTTCCTCTTCCGTTAGTGGCTAAACGCAACACTCTTTTCAGGGTCCAGGGGGTGTCCCCATGGCGCCCGCCCAGCTCAAACCACCAGCCCGGCCCAGCCCAGGCTGCCTGGCTCCCTGCTGCCTGCCCTTTGCTGGCTGCCAAAAAGTTTGAAAGAAAAGAAAACTCTTTTCGGGGGTTCTAGGGGGTGTCCCCCTGGCGCGGTCCAGCAACAAGCGAGTGCTGGCGGGGTCCAGGGCGAGGAGTCCTGGCAGGGGGTCTGGGGGGCAGCGCCCCCCAGGATCACGGTGGTGAATATTTACGATTCGTAAAGAATTTCATGAAAATTCCGTAAGCCACTCCAAGGAGCATGGGTTTGGGCCATGGGTTTATGGTTCCACCCACCGCCACCCACCCCGGCCACCCACCCATCGCGATGGCTACGCTTACGTTTCGAAATTAAGTTTCTGGGTTTAGACAACACCCCCCTATGAAAGAAGTGCACCCTCAAGTTGGCCGGGGCGACTGCTACGCTGTCGAACCCTAAACCCTAAACCCTAAACCCTAAACCCTAAACCCTAAACCCTAAACCCTAAACCCTAAACCCTAAATTTTAGAAGGCGCAAGCGCCAAGATGCGACAGCGTAGGTTGTTGGTTTAACAGTAGAATGGAAGCAGGAAGCCCGAAATCTTTTAAGGCCCGAGGGTTGAGGGTTTAGGGCCCTAGGGTTGATGGTTTGGGGCCTTGGGTTTAGGGTTTCGGGGCCGAGGGTTTAGGGATTGGGTGCTAGGGTCTAGGCTTTAAGGCCCTAGGGTTGAGGGTTTCGGGGCCTTGGGTTTCGGGTTTCGGGGCCGAGGGTTTAGGATTTAGGGTTTCGGGGCCGAGGGTTTAGGGTTTGGGTGCTAGGGTTTAGGGTTTCGGGGCCGAGGGTTTAGGGTTCAGGGTGCTAGGGTTTAGGGTTTAGGGCCCTGGGGTTGAAGGTTTGGGGGTTTAGGGTTTAGGGTTTAGGGTTAGGTTTAGGGTTTTTAGGGGTTTAGGGTTTAGGGGGTTTAGGTTTAGGGTTAGGGTTTAGGGTTTAGGGTGTAGGGTTTAGGGTTTTAGGGTTTAGGCGTTTTTTTTTTTTTTTTTTCTTTTTTTTTTTTTTTTGTTTTTTTTTTTTTTTTTTGTTTTTTTTTTTTTTTCATTTTTTTTTTTTTTTTTTTTTTTTTTTTTTTTTTTTTTTTTTGTTTTTTTTTTTTTTTATTTTTATTTTTTTTTTTTTTTTTTTTTTTTTTTTTTTTTTTTTTTTTCTTTTTTTTTTGTTACTTTTTTTTTTTATTTTTTTTTTTTTTTTTTTTTTGTTTTTTTTTTTTTTTTTTTTTTTTTTTTTTTTTTTTTGTTTTATTTTTTTTTTTATTAGAAATTGTTAAGGGTTTTTTGGGTCCAATACCGTTTGGGGAGACGAAACGTTGAACGGAAAGTTTTGAACGAAAGTTTTTTTTTTTTTTTTTTGTTTTCAGATTCGCTGGGGGGCTGCGAAACGTTTCGACCGAAACTTTTGAGCGAGACGTTTTGACTGTCCTGAGGCTGGGGCCCCGGGGGGAGGGGGGGGGGCGGCCACGAAATTGGTTCAGTGCAAAAGTTGCAGTGTACTCGGTGTCAACAGCAAACGCCGGGAGAGAAAGACAGGGAGGGGGGGGGGGGGCGGCCGCGAAATTGGTGGCGTGCAACAGTGGTAGTTACTGGGATCGTCATCGCGAAGAAACGTTTTGGGCGAAACGTTTTGACCGAAACGTTTTGAGCGAAAGTTTTTTTTGCGAACCATGTTTTCAGATTCGATGGGGGGCTGCGAAACGTTTCGACCGAAACTTTTGAGCGAGACGTTGAAATTTGGGTGCCAATAAGTTTTGACCGAAAGTTTTGACCGAAAGTTTTGACAAGAGTTTTGATTTTGGAACCTTGATTTGGTGTTGGGCTCTGGCCAGCTTGGGCTGGTCGCTGGGGAAGCTTTCTGCATGTTCAGCTGGGATGAGAGGGCTGGGTTGGGGGCTGGGCCGGGGGGCCGGGGAGGGATTGGGGCTGTGGCTTGTAAGGGTTTGGGTCCCAAAAAGTTTTGACTGAAACGTTTTGACTGAAACGTTCTGACTGAAACGTTTTGACTGAAAGTTTGGGGCTGTTTTTTTTTGCGAATCATATTTTCAAATTTATTGGGGGCCCTAAACCCTAAACCTTAAACCCTAAACCCTAAACCCTAAACCCTAAACCCTAAACCCTAAACCCTAAACCCTAAACCCTAAACCCTAAACCCTAAACCCTTAACCCTAAACTGTGTGTGTTGCCCGCATACACATGTGTGTGTGTTCCGCACACACACACACACACGCATGTGTGTGTTCCCCGCACAATTTGACAAGAGTTTTGACTTTGGAACCTTGATTTGGTGTTGGGCTCTGGCCAGCTTGGGCTGGTCGCTGGGGAAGCTTTCTGCATGTTCAGCTGGGATGAGAGGGCTGGGTTGGGGGCTGGGCCGGGGGGCCGGGGAGGGATTGGGGCTGTGGCTTGTAAGGGTTTGGGTCCCAAAAAGTTTTGACTGAAACGTTTTGACTGAAACGTTCTGACTGAAACGTTTTGACTGAAAGTTTGGGGCTGTTTTTGTTTGCGAATCATGTTTTCAAATTTCTTGGGGGCCCTAAACCCTAAACCCTAAACCCTAAACCTTAAACCCTAAACCCTAAACCCTAAACCCTAAACCCTAAACCCTAAACCCTAAACCCTAAACTGTGTGTGTTGCCCGCATACACATGTGTGTGTTCCGCACACACACACACACACACGCATGTGTGTGTTCCCCGCACAAATATGTGTGTTCCGGGTCTACAGCTCTTGACCAACAAGGCTGCCAAAGACCTTTTCGCGCGCGCGCGCGCGCGCGCGCGCGCGCGTTGTTGGGATCCAGAGACTTCGCCTCCGGGGGCCTCTCGCCAGGCCGCTCCTTACATGTCGCCAAGCTCGTCTGCGGCATCTCGCAGAAACGTTTTTTTTTTAAAAAAAAATTCGAAGCATTTCCGAATGCTTCCACGATGACTGCTTTCAACGACAAGTGAACTTGTGGTGCTCACACATCATCCTCTGCAAAGCAGCTAGTCACATCCCTAAGCGAAGTGCAAACTCCAGCGAAACAAACACTCAATGCAAACGTAGCTGGATATGCAACTCCATCGATCATTAACGGCCTTCAAGTGAAGAACTCTACATCATTTGAAGTTCTTCAACGATTTACATACGTTCCGAAACGAAGTCGCAGCCATCCAAGCAACAACCACGCAGAATCAAAACGACGCCCTTCACAGAATCACGGGGACACCCTTCAGCGGAGCACTGTGTCACACCCCGCGGGCCTTCCACCGGACGAGCCTACGTCATTTGAGCTCCTCTGTCTGTTTGCGCCCTTCCCGAAGATACCCTTTCAAACCAAAAATTTGGTGTTTGAAAGGGCCCGCGGGGCCAACGCAGAATCAACCTTACAACAGTTCACGCGGACCCTGCAATCAAAAGGGTAAGTTCGGGAGTGACTTTGCGGACATAGTTTGACCTCCCCTGTCCATCTATGGCCCTCCCGCGGCTCCCCTTGAAGAACAGTTTCCGCATGAAGGGTAGCAGAATGCAGAATCACATTCGCACACCCTTCCTGCGGAAAATGGTCTTCAAGGGGAGCCGCGGGAGGGCCATAGATGGACAGGGTAGGTCAAACTATGTGGGCAAACCCACTCCTGAGCTCACCTGAAGGCTTACAGTATCCCCATGAACTGTGTCAGATTGATTCTGCATTCTGCGACCCTTCATGCGGAAACTGTTCTTCAAGGGGAGCCGCGGGAGGGCCACAGATGGACAGGGGAGGTCAAACTATGTCCGCAAAGCCACTCCCGAACTTACCCTTTTGATTGCAGGGTCCGCGGGAACTGTTGTAGGGTTGATTCTGCGTTGGCCCCGCGGGCCCTTTCAAACACCAAATTATTGGTTTGAAAGGGTATCTTCGGGAAGGGCGCAAACAGACAGAGGAGCTCAAATGACGTAGGCTCGTCCGGTGGAGGGCCCGCGGGGTGTGACACAGTGCTCCGCTGAAGGGTGTCGCCGTGATTCTGCGAAGGGCGTCGTGTTGATTCTGCGTGGTTGTTGCTTGGATGGCTGTGACTTCGTTTCGGAACGTATGTAAACCGTTGAAGAACTTCAAATGATGTAGAGTTCTTTAGTTGACGTCGATTAAGAAGCGATATGGATCGATGTTGTACACATGTCATGATGTGTAGCACAACAAGCTTCTTTGTTGTCGAAAGC